TTTCTTGAGTCTGTTTGAGCCAAAGAGATGACATGCTTGAAAGCAAGATCTCAAATGCTCCCAGTTTTTGCTATTTTAAATGAAATCACTCATAATTTTGTTTTTGGATTATTCATTGCTATTGAATAGAAATAGAATTTATTTTTGTATGTTAATCTTGTATCCTGCAAGTTCAAGTTTAGTAATCCTGCTGAACTTACTTAGTTCTCTTTTAAAATTTTTGTTTATTTATTTTTAGAGAGAGGGAGAGAAACATTGATGTGAGAGAGGAACATCGATTCATTGCCTCTCATCTGTGCTTTTACCTGGGACTGAACCTGTAAGGCAGGCATGTGCGCTGACCAGGAGTAAAACCTGTGACTTTTTGCTTTGCGGAAGGATGACCCACAACCACCCGATCCACACCAGTCAGGGCAAACTTAGTTCTAATAGTTTTTTTTTTTTTGTGGATTCTTTAGAATTTTCTGTTCACAAGGTCATGTCATCAGCAAATGTAGAGGTTTTGGGGTGTTTTTTTTTTTTTAAGGTTTTAATTTTTTTAGAAAGAGGGGAAGGGAGAGAAATATCGATGTTTGCTTGAGAGAGATGCATCAATCAGTTGCCTCTTGCACACCCCCAACTGGGGACCTGGCCTGCAACCAAGGTATATGGCCTGGCTGGGAATGGAACCAGCGACCCTTTGATTCACAGGCCGGCACTCAATCCACTGAGCTGCACCAGCCAGGGCAACAAATACAGAGTTTTATATTGTCCTTTCCACTCTGGGCACATTTTACTTCATTTTCTTGCCTCATTTCCTGGCTAGAACCTCAAGTACAATGTTGAATATAGTGGTGACAGAAGACATCCTTCCCTTGTTCCTGATGTGAGTGGGAAAGCTTTTAGCCTTTCATTGATAAAGATATTAGCTGTGGGTGCTTCATAGATGCCCTTTATTCTATGGATGTTAAAATTGAAAGTTGCTCTCTGTGCGCACCATGTTCCATTATGCCTCTACTCTAGGCTTTGCACTATTTCTCCCTCCTTTATGTCCCTGGCAAACCCAAGGTTCAGTCCAAATGTCTGAGATGCTTTCCTTAACTGTCTCCAATAGAACATATCCTTCCATTCTCAGAGGTGCTACAGCACTTTTTTACATTTCTCCACATTTTTCATATGGGATTGTAATGATTTGTCTCACAGTTTTCTGAGCTCACAGGTAAGGACCATAGTAGCCTTCCCTCAGATCTGGGGCAGCATCAGACAGTAGTGGATAATTAGAAAAAATTGGTTGTATGGTGGCCAGGGTAGGTTGGCTGAATGAGAGGAACAGGAATGACCTTCATTGTCTTCATGTAACTTCCTGAGGTTAGAAATGTATCCCATAGGCCCTGGCCATGGAGCTCAGTTGGCTAGAGTGTTGTCCTGATGTGACAAGGTTGTGGGTTCAGTCCCTGGTCAGGGCACATATAAGAATCAATGAAAGTGTAAATAAGTGGAACAACAATTTGTTGTTTCTACTTTCCTTTCTATATAATCAATTAAAAAGAAAAGATGTATCTCATATATCCTTTTAATATTCCCCTTAGTAATCCATTATGACTTTTAGTTGTGAATCCAACTAAAAACATTTGTAATATCTGTTCATGTTTCAATCAGTACCACCTCTCCAAGGACTGATCATTTCCTTGGCCTGAAAACTAGTTCCTGGGGTACCTTATAAATGTAATATTACAGGGTAAGTAATTCACAGTATTTAGACATTTTTCTGTCTGGTGTGCAGTAAGAAGATTACAGGCTCTCAAATTCTCAAGATCTGGCTTCTCTAATTGCTTATCAGTCATGTAAAGTTGAATTATTTCTCCAAACCTCAGCAAAAGCCCCCAAAATAACTGTCTTTTTAATCAGGTTAATGAGGATCCAATGAGATCATGTGGTTGGTGAATTTTAGAGCAAGATCTTAAGTTTTGGGGTTTTTTTTAAGATTTTACTTATTTTTAGAGAGGAAGTGAGGGAAACATCAATGTGTAGTTGCCTCTCGCGCGCCCTCTACTGGGGACCTGGTCCACAACTGAAGTGTGTGCCCTAGACGGAATTGAACCAGTGACCCTTTGGATCGCTGGCCAACATTCAATCCACTGAGCCACACCAGCCAGGGTAACATCTTAGCTGTTTTAGCTACACACATTTACCCTTTCCATATAGACTGCGAATTGCTTAGAGACAAAGGTCTGTAGCTTCCCCATGCTTCATTAATTCTCTGCAAATGCTCCCATTTTCTTTGTCTTTACCTCTTCTGTCAAAAGTCAGAGAATCTTACTCTCTTCCACCTACCCTCCTACGAGAGCTGCTCTAGCTTTCTGAGTGTTATTTTCCTTCCCTGTCCTTTTTCCCAGCTGGTATGCAAAGAATGGGTTCATCGAAATGCTCCTTTGATACCATTACTCACAGTGTGTATTGGACAGTGTCATTAGCATGTAACTCCTTGGCTTTAAATGCGCTCTTCCAAAAAGCACAGGTGCTTTCTTATGTTCCATCCTGTTTGCTCTCACAGCACACTGGAGACAGTGGAGAGTATGATCTCCTGTTTTATCATCGGCTATCCAAAGTTAAAAAGTCCATATTGGAATTGGTTAAAACTCCACAGACATTATTCTGTAGAATGTGTTATGTACAGTTTTTAACTATGAAGGAGCTGCAGCATAGAAAGAATATCCAAAAGGGGCTGGAGTCCTGGCTCTGCCTCTGAACTTTGCTCATTTCCATTTTCTTAGTAGTTAAACAAGGGGCTGGAGACTAAATGAGAAAGATGATTATGAGTTCTCCAGTAACATGATTATTACTGAGTCCAGTAGCAAGGCTTAGCAGGCCTGGGACATGGGTTGACAGGAGCAGGAGACAGGAACACTGATGCTGTGGGAATCTGGGGGTAAATGTCCTCTTCTTTGGAAGAGGCTGGCCTCATTGCTCTCCCTTTATCCTTTTATTTATTTTCCAGAGAGAGGGAAAGGGAAGAAGAAAAACGGGAGAGAAACATTGATGTGTAAGAGAAATCAGTTGCCTCTCACACACCCCCAACCAGGGGCCTGACCAGGCCCGTGCCCTGATGAGGGGTTGAACTGGCAGCCCTTGGGATCCCAGGCCGGAGCTCAATCCACTGAACCACACTAGCCAGGGCTCCCTTCATACTTTGAGTTGAGAGTGCTGTACCTGTCTCCTAGGCTCTTGACTGAGGGCTTTTTACCTCCTTAAATGAAGTCTTACCTCCTTTGGGAATGCAGCCTTTTGGTGTTCTAAACCACTGGCCTCTTCCTCCTCTTTCATATTGTTAGTATTAGATGGACTTGAAGCTCTTTGAAGGATGGCCTATGCCCTAAATACTCAGAATGGTCCTGATATATAAAACAGGCACTGTTTGCTAAAAGAATGAACAAATACTAACTTTTTGAACATCTGTCATGTGTCAGGCTTTGGGGTTTCAAAGTTGAGTAAGACAGCCTGGCCAATGTGACTGAGTTGGTTGGGCTTAGTCTGACAAATCTAAAGGTCATTGGTTTGATTGCTGGCCAGGGCACATGGCTGAGTTGCAGGTTTGGTCTCCCAGTTGGAAGGCAGCCAATGGATGTTTTTTCCTCACTTCGATGTTTCTCTTTCCCCTCCCTCCTTTCCCATCTCTCTCTTTAAAAAAAACAACAACAAAAATAGTTAATGCCCTGGCTGGTGTGGCTCAGCGGACTGAGTGATGGCTTGCAAACCAAAGGGTCACCAGTTCAATTCCCAGTCAGGGCACATGCCTGGGTTGCAGGCCAGGTCCCCAGAAGGGGGTGCATGAAATGCAACCACACAGTGTTTTTTCTTCTCCCTCTCTCCCTCCCTTCTGCTCTCTAAAAATAAATAAATAAATAAAATCTTTAAAAAAAGAAAAAGAAATTGAGACTAATAAAGTGGGAGAGAGTCTGAGACAGGGAAAAAAAAAAAAAAAAAAAAGTTGACAAAGTTCCTGGACTCAAGGAGTAATTTAAGAGGCACTTGCATTATCTTGTTTAATCCTCATAGCAACCCTTGAAGGAAGCTGGAGGTTAAGAGATTTGCCCTAAGTGGTAAAGCCAGGCCATGGCTGATCTGACCTAGAGGTGGAAGCCCTAGTCTCCTATGTCCACAGAGTGTCTAGAGACACCCCTCACTTCCAAAGGTAGTGCCCAAAGCTTTGAAGGAGTTGGAAAGGTGGCCACAGTGTGCATCAATGAAGAGCTCCACTCCTGGGTCTAACCATTTCCCAGCTCTGTCACTCATTAGCCTTGTAACTTTGGGCAAGTTACTGAGTCTCTCAGAGCATTGGTTTTCTCATCTGTAAAAGAATACTACTACAGTGGGCATCCGTTGTTTTTACCTGTACCACATCCAGTCCTATTTCTGCTGATAGCGTTCAGGTGTTGCTTTCCCTCTCCCCAGTTGTCAGTAGTAGGGGAGAGAGGAGTGGCGTGTTACTCTAGCTAGCCAGTCACTTGCTCTCTGCAAATGAATCTTCAGTGGAGTGACCCAAAACCTGAATCTCACTGGAGTTCATTCATCCAGGTGAAGCCCTGAAAAAATACTACTTTTTCCTATTCCCCCTGGCTTGTGACCTTTTTTGACTAGTTCTTCTCTTAACCTTGTTAGCTCCCCACCACAATCTGTCCTACCACATTCCTCGATTTCCCTTCTTTATTAGAGTCAGTCAGTTTTTATTGCTTGCAACAACAAAAAACTTTCATTGATCCAAACACCTACCTTGCAGTGTTGTAAGGATTAAGTGATTAAATGAAATTTGTAAAGTGCTTAGCCCAGTCCAAGAAGCATAGCAATCAGTAATGGGTGGTAGTTGTCTGTAAGTTAACACGGGATGGGGGGGTCAGGGGCCAGGGCACAGGGATGGGGAGGGAGATTTTTGTTAGTTTTGGGTCCACTGAGAAACCTTCCCCCCAAGAGGTAGTTGGAAGGACAACAGAAGGGAAGGAAGTCCAGGCTCTGGTATGCTCATTTATTCAAAATGTCTTTATTGAAACAGAATGATAGAGCAAGAAAGAATGAGGTCTGGGAGGATGTCTTTGGGCACAGGATGAAGCCCAGACCTAGAGCTTACAATGTGGAGCTCTCTCCCTGTCCCCCTGATTCTTGTAAGGAAGTGAACACAAAGCAGCAGAGAAGAGACGGGGTACGGACAGCCCTCTGGGCTCTCCTCGATGGCTGGCGTGAGGTGCCTCTGAGCCTTCTGCGCAGCTTGCCTCCTCACTCAGTCCTCCCAATCTCCTTGCCAGGGCCTTATGTCACCTTTCTGTATGGGCCAGCCTCCTGCCAGGGTGCTCAGAGGCCACTTCAGAGGGCAGGGGTGGGGGTGGCAAGCAGCGGGACATGGTCACAGCGGTTAGGGGGTGGCTGCCGCAGCAGAGAAGGCCGGCGGCACAGCTCCCCGTCCCGGAGCACCTCAGGCAGGAGCTTGCGCTTGGTTTCCGGCAGAAGCATGATGCTGAGGATGCAGAGGAGGGCACAGGCCGCCAGCACTACATGCTGCAGGAAGGCTCCATGGCCCATGTGGAGGCGCTGGGCTGGGCCACTCAGTCCTCCAAGTGCCCCCAGTGCCATGATTAGGCCCAGACCTCGGCCCCTGGGAGAGATGGAGTTGGTATTCAGCCTCTAGCTGTGGGCCTTACCCGAACCCTTCTCCAGCAACAGGCCCTCCTTCGTCCCTCAGGCCCTGTCCTTGGCAGGAGACTGGGAGGCCTGGTCCTGCCTCTGGCAGCACCCCTGCTCTCACCGGACAGTGGTAGGGATGACTTCAGCGGCAAGGAGGGTACTGAGAAGGCCAGCAGCTTGGGAAGAGAAGAGGCCGAGGACAGAGAAGGTGGTGATGGCGGCCTCATTCAGATCTAGAGGACCAAGAGCGAGGTGTGAATGGAGGCAGATCATGCTTGACTTAGCCCCTTGGCTTCACCTCCTTACTTTCTGACCCTATGGCTCTAGCTAGGAGGGCTCTGAGCATTCACTAATTGGTTGGGAGAACAGACAGGGTGCGTGGCCAGGGAAGAAGGACTGTGGAGATCTGGGCAGGGACTGGTCTGGTCTTAGGAGGCTTGTGCCAGAAGCAGTGCCTGAACCTGTGTGAGGCACCTCTGCCAGGGTTCCTTTGCTGAGCCCGCACTGGGGAAGGGAGGATGCTCACAATCCCACAGGCCCAGCAGGACCAGGGACGCGATGCCAGTGAGGGTCATCGAGAGAAGCAGGATGCCCCGGCGGCCAAATCGGTCCACGGTGACCCCCAGGAAGACGCAGGCCAGGGCCGCTGTGCCGCTGGCCAGCAGGGAACACAGGTAGAATTCCGATGGGCTCCCTCCTCCTCCCACAGGCTGGTAACAGTGGCGAATGGCGTGGGCAATAAAGCTGTGAGAAGGGGTGGAAGAGCAAAGAAGGGTGCCTGCATCCTCACCCGCAGCCTTCCACAGCCCTGGCGGCCCTCTGCGGGGGTCCTCAGGCCTTCCCCACCCAGCCAGCCCCTATCCCAACTACTGGCCTGCCCTTGGCTCAGACACCCAGGCTCACTTGGTGAAGCCCAGGATAAGCAGGTTTTTCCAGATGTTGCGGTAGTTGAGGAGGGATGCGAGGGAAAAGGAGGATGTTGCAGGGAGAGGGCAGGTGTTCTCCAGGTCTTTGCGAAAAAGAGAGAGGGAGGAGCTGTCCGTTAGAAGGAGCAGCAGAGAGCCCAGGGTCCTCCCACATGAGTGGTGGGGACCCTGGGAGAAGGTGGCATAGCTATAACCACGCAGAGGGCACCATCGTGTCTGTACGTGAGAGATCATCTGTAAGGACCCGTTTCTTACCCTGCAGGGCCTCCTGGGCCTCCTCTCCCAGCATCTGCCCATGGGGACGGTTCCGCTCAGCCAGGATTCTCAGCACTGACTGGGCCTCCTCAATCTGTCGCTTCACTATCAGCCACCGTGCGGACTCCAGAAACAGACCAGGCCAGCTGGGGGCAGGGTTGCGGGGTACATGGTGAAGCCTCCCATCTCCTGACACAAGGATGGGAAACTGCCCCCTCTGGAGTGTCTGGGGCTGGGGCAGGCCTCGATGAGGGGCAGTGGAGAAGAGGGGTGTCCTTGGGCTAGAGCTAAGCTGGAGGGAGAGATGAAAATGGCCAGATAGCAGGTGAAGGGTGATACTGACCCATAAAACAGGAAGAGGATGCAGGGAGCGGTGATCATTCGCTGCAGAAATCGCCAGTCCTTAGAGACAAGGGCCAGGCCCAGGAACAGGAAGTGCCCCCCCACCCCCACCAACTCCCCTGCCAGGGCCACCCGAAGCCTCTGGGTTGGGTCGCACAGCTCCAGGCCTAGAGATACAGCAGGGACAGGGAGGAGAGGTCAGGGAGGAAGGAGGTGTGGGAGAGAAGAGGGGAGAGGGAGGGAGGAGGACGAGAGCGAGGTCAGACCCTGAGTGGAGGCTGCAGCTGTCACCTCCCACAGACTAACCTCTGAATGGCAAAGAGTGGAGAGATTGTTCAGTCCTCTCTCCTCTCCTGCTCAAGGCCGGGAGGGCTGGAGGGTTAGAGTCCCTGGTGGGTGTTCAACATCTCCACTTACAGGCCCTTTCACATCAGACCTTATTTATTTGACCTTCATAGCAACCCTTGTTCAAGGTCACACAGCTAATCAGGTTTCACTTTTTAAAATAAGACTCTATTCCTTGACAGCAGTAAGTCTAAGGCAAGGAAGTCCTTAAAGATAGTGGAGGGAGAGGGGTGTGGAAAGAGCAAGACCCTTGGATCCTTCAAACGCCTGGGCAGAAAGACAACTGAGATTCTGGACAGCTGAAATTTGGGGCTGAAGAAGGGACTGAGAGGACTCTAGGGGGCAATGGGAATGGCCTGGGATGCAGACAGGCAGGAGTGAGCCCCAAGGGAAGGATTTCTTGGAGGGTGCCACTCACGCATCAGGTAGACACCAAGGTCAACACCAGCAAGCAGAAAGCCCAGGAGGAATCGAAGAGCCATGACACCTGTGGAGGAGCCTGCAGCAGCCCCTCCCACTCCGCAGGGTCCCACCAGCCCCAAGGTCAGCAACACAATCCCACGACGGCCAAACCTGAAAAGTGTGGAAGGCCTCTGGTCACCCAGACTCCCTGGGGGAGGCATTGCTGGGTGGGGCCCAGTTGCCCAATTCACAGCTGGCGTGTGAGGATGAGACCTTGGGAACAAGAGTTGGACTGAAGCTAGAGAAGATGGAAGGGCTTAGGTCCATGGGTTAAGTGATATCTGGCAACTAGGCACTGGGATGTGGCTGTGGTTCTGTGGGGATGGGACCAAACTCTTGTGGATGGGGCTATTGGTCAGCGCTGATGGCATTTCCCCATGGGAGTAAGACCGACTATCAGAGGGGATGGAATATTGCTTAGGGGACTTGGAATCATTGATCCTTTATGATAAAGGTCAGTTGGGATGGAGTTTATCTCGCTCAGACTGGTCAGAGAAGATGAGGTCATTGATATATGGGGTTGGAGCTACTGATCTCAGTGAACTGAGTAATTGATTTTGGGGAACGAGGCCATTGTCCCATGGGATTGGGGCATGGGCCTACTAGTCCACAAGGATGGTCAATGGGGATGGTGACACTCACTAGAAGATGGAGCCGCTGATCCGTGAGAATTAATCCTTGGGATAGGACTAGGGATCAGTGAGGTTAATCCCTAATCTTGAAGATTGTACAATTTATCTCTGGGGATAGAGCCGATGACTCGTGGGGTGGGGATCATATGGGTGGGGCTATTGGTATTGGTCAGTGGGGGTGAACCTATTAATCCGTGGGGATAATCAGTAAGGGTGGGGTCACAGGGTAAATTAGACTGTTGGTCAGTGATGATGAACAGGGCTTCTGATCATTGGAGGCCAGGCTTTGATCTTTGGGGATAAACCCAGTGATCTATGGGGATGAAGTTTGGGATCACTGGTCATTGGGAAGGGGGCCTGATTCCTGAGAGAAAGCTACTGACAGTAGATTGGGGCCTTATTTCCATATAAGATTATTGGTTAATGAGGCTAGGGCTACTGGATTTAGAAGACTGAATTATGGTCTTAGGGGATGAGGCTATGATTCCATTGGAATGATGCTACTGGTCTGTGAGAACAAGGCCACTAATGCATGAAGATGGGCTATTGACCTATGGGTTTAAGATAATTTGCCAAAAGGATATGTGACTACTGGGCAGTGAGGATAGATATTGATTTTAAGGAACTGGATTATTGAATGTTGGGTTGCCTTTGATCCATGGGAGTTGAGTTATTACTCCATTTGAATAGGACTGTAGATCAGTGGAGATGAGTCTAATCCTTGGGGACAGTCAATGGAGGGGGAGCACTTCATCAGTGGTGATGATGTCCAGATTCAGAGGAGGTGGAAGTTTTGATCCCCGGGGAGAGCTATTGGTTGGCAGGGATGAGCTGATCTTGAGATGAGGCCACTGATTCATAGAAATGGGGTTTTTAGTCTGAGAGGACCTCAGAACACCGAAGAACCATGAGGGTAGGACTTTTTAATTTCCGGGGCAGTGGTGCGGTTGTGGTCATTGATCCATGGGGGCTGGACTATTGACCCATGAGGGTGGAATCATGTTCGTAAAGATGGACTATTGGTTAACGGGAATAGGGCTGTTGATAGTCAGGAACTACCATAATGATCTTTAGAAGTGAGGCTATTGAGATGGAGCTAATAGTCCACATGGATGGGACTGTTAATGGGGATGAGCCTGTTAATTTGTGAAGATGGTGAGGGAGGTGGTTAGTGGTGATAGGCACAATAGAGGAGGAGCTAGGACTTTGGATGTGTAGAGATAGGGTTTTTGGTCATTGGGGATGGGGTTATTGTCTTTGGAGATGATGTTATTGATCAATAGATATGGGGAATGGGGGTGAAGTCATTTCCCTGTGCAGAAGAGGTGTGGAAGGAGTATTTCTTGATGGAACTGCAGTAGAGACAGGGGTGGGGCTGCGTATCACTGAAAAGAAGAAATCCAGAGAAGGCTGCGGAGTCCAACGCTCCTCTTTGGCCTCTTGCCAACACCAGCTGCCTGGGCTAGCCTTCCTAGCACCCCCTTATCTCTGCTTGCCCTGTCCCTGTTAGCCCTCACCTGTCCGCAGGGTAGCCCAGGAACAAGTAGCCGGAGGCAAAGCCCAGGGTGAAGAGAATCTGCTCCAGGATCACCTGCCAGCCCAGGTCACACACCAGATCCCACTGGAAATGCGAGAGGGATGGAGTGGGCGTGAGGCTCTGCGAGGGTGGCTCTCAGCCCGCCCCCAGACCCGCGGCCCACCCAGGAGCCTCACCTGGCCGATGGCGTTGGTGGTGAGCACCGGCAGGCCGTTATAGTCCCAGTCCTTGAGACAGTGGTTGAAGTCCGGCGGGGCAAAGCCGCTGCACGAGGGGTCAGTACTGGTGGCGACGCGGCTGGCGGCGCTGGCGGCAAGCGCCGCACTGGCGACGCCGACACCGCTGGCATTGGGGGTCTGCTCCCAGCCAGAGGCGTTGGGGGCAAAGTCTCCGTAGTGGCAATGCAGTGGGGGCGCCAGTGTGAAGATGGGGTCCGAGGCCAGGCCCAGAGCCACGAAAAGCACGGGCAGGCAGCAGAGGCCGAGCTGGAGCTGCTGGCCCCCGCCCAGCGCCCCTACCTGGGCGAGCAGCGCCTCGAAGCTGAGGGGGCCGGGGGGCACGGCCAGCGACAGGCTGCTGCCCACCCTGTCTCCGCCCGCGTCGCCCTCCCCATCTCGCTCGCGCTCGCGCTCCCGCTCACCCTGCAGCTGCTCTGTGGGCACCGCATCTCCCAGGGTCCCGACCTGCTGAGGGTGGGGGGGCGGCAAGGGGAGAGGCAGAAGAAGGGTGAATCGCATAAAACCGCAAAGCAAAGGAGGAGGGCGGGCGCTCGCGCAGAAGCAAGGCAGTTAGGGGCTGGGGATGAGCGAAGGAAAACGCCAGGCGCTTGGCGCGGGTGCGGGGAGGTGATGGCGTAGTCCTCAGGGCGCAGACACTTACTCCGTTGGGGCTGGGGGTGATCTCTACAGTGCTGTCGATTTTGCTGCCGCCCCCGCCATTGGGCTCGGGGGTCCCGGTGGCCACCCGGGGAGCCAGCTTGCCGACTGCAGAGGCTCTGCCGGCCCTCACCGAAAGGATGCGCTGTCCTCCTCTGGCCTAATGGTGCGTCGGGTGCCCAGACACAGGCGCCGGAGAGACCCCGCTCTGCAGCTCCGGAGCCGCGGGCGCCTCCTTCGTCTCTGCGATCTCTGCGCCGATTTCCCCTCCCCTTCCTCCAGACTCTCCTCCCCTTCACGTCAGCCGAACCATGGGTCCAGACTCTTCGTCAGAGAGAGGAAGGGGGGCCAGGGCTCAGGAGAGGGAGGGGATGGGACTCTGTCTCTGTTCCCTGGGTCTGCGGGCCATTGCAGTAAAAAGGAAAAAAGCTGAAGAAGAGTAGGTAACCCAGGCAGATGCCAGAGATTCCTTCTTTGCTTCCGATTCTTACCATCCATCCGCTCATTCATTCATTCATCAGTAAAATTTATGAAGCTTCTACTCTGTGGTTGGCCTTGTGCTAGGCTTGGGGGATAACAGAATGGACAAGACACTTTGGAGGAACTTAGTGGGCGGGGGGGGGGGCAGATAAGTGTACTGGCAATGACAGCACAGGGCGCCCATGTGGGGTGGTTGCACTCCTGTACAACACTACTTCTCCACACTTCACTCTGGTTGAATCACTATTTCTCAACAGTATTCAGCACTGTTGTCACCTCTTCATCTAAATACTTTCTCTGGCTGCTAAGTCTCACGCTCCTGTTTTGTTTTTTGTGTTTTTTCCCCCCTCTTGCTTCTTTTTTCTCCACTGCAGGCTCACTCTCCTCTCCCTCGTTATCACTCAATGTCTGTACTCCTCAGAGGCTTAGTCCTAAGTCGTCCTCCTCTTATCTCACACTATTCTCTGCACCTGGCGACCTCACCCATGCCCATGGCTTCACCTTCAATATAAACAATACAAGTCTCGTCCCCAGATTTACATTTCCAGCTCCTGTTACTGAACAACTTCCCAAAAGTCAAGTTGGTGTGCCTAATGCACTAGTAAGCCAAACACTGAGACACTGGTGCTTGGGGACAGAGAATGTTGATTCGATTTGGCCAAATCAAGAGGATAGGAGAGCAAGTTCTCTCAGGTCTGTCTTCCTCAAAAACCAAAAGGAGTTTCTACACAGCTAAGGAGTAGGGGCAGAGGTGTTTCAGGGAACTGAGGGCGAACCCTGTTTATTCAGTCACTGTCGAGTGTTCGTTTGACTTCCACCTACCTTCTGATCCCCAGACCCTTGAAGCCACTTCTTGGATCTCTTACCTTGGATGACTCATAGGGACCTCAAACTCAGCATGTCTAAGACCAAACTCATGCTCTTCCCCCAGTAATCTGGTTGTCTTTGAGCGCATCCTCAGTGAATGGCACCCTCATCATCCAATTGTGGCCGGATGTACCGGTGACAGCCCTTAGAACGCCCTCTTCCTTACCTCCACATCAAACCCCCTACAAAATACTATATATTTTACTTCCTATATGAATCTCTTATATTCCTCTTCTCCCTATTTCTTACCACCATTAATGAAGCTATCTGTCGCACAGACTGCTTTAGCTTCCTAATTCTTAGCTGGTGCTCTGTGTCCACTTGTTTCCCCATCTGTTATATACAGTACAAATGGAATGATATTTTTTAAGATTTTACTTATTTACTTTTAGAGAGAGAGGAAGGGAGGGAGAAAGAAAGTGAGATAAACATCAATGTGTAAGAGATATAGCAGTCGGTCTCCTCGCACGCACTAGCCAGGAACCTGGCCTACAACTCAGACATGTGCCCTGACTGGGAATCGAACCAGCAACCTTCAGTTTGCAGGCCAGAGCTCAATGCACTGAACCAAACCAGCCAGGGCTGGAGTGATCTTTTCAAAATGCAAAGCTGTTCATATCCCTTTCCTGCTTAACAACCTTCAATGGCTTCTCCTCATCATCAAAATAGTGCTATTTTAGACAGCTCATATATGCTTGGCCCCCTGCTTTCTGCAGCTCTATCTCACTTCTCAAACACTGTAGTAACACTGGACTTCTTTCGTTTTATATCAATGCCACAGGGCCCTTGCACAAGCTTGTCTTTATGCTAGAAGTCCTCTCCTTCCCGAGTCAAGTTCTCACCGTTCAGCTGTCAGCTCAAGTGTATTTGCCTCAGAGTCTTCCTAACTCCTAGAATTGCTACTCAGTGTGATTTAAAGACCATCACCTGGGATCTAGTTAGAAATGCAGGATCACAGGCCTTTTAACCAGATCCCCATTAGAAATGCACTTGCCTAGATCTGATACCTAATAGGTACTTTATTCTCTAACCTCAGGTAAGGGCCGGGAAGGAGCGTTCTGTCAGTCTTGTCAGGAAATCCATCCCCTCTTCTCTCCACTGAACCACACTCTTGTCTCCTCTGTTCACAAATTTTCCAAATATGGGAAACTCTTCTAATGTGCTTAGCAGCCTCCCACCATTTCCCTTCCCTCAACCCGTTTCAGTACCTTTTCAGGATTTGCTTCGGTGCTGGCACTGTCAACATTCCTTGATTTGTTTGTTTTTGTGTCTGTCCTGGAATTATCCCTTAACTTTATGTTGGGCTGTTCATGTGTTATCTTGTTAGGGCCTCACAAAAACCCCATGTGACCATTATGATAAACCTCCTATCAAAGCTGAAACCAGGATTCCGAGGGACTGACAAGATTTACCACGGACACATAGGCATATAGTGTTTCTGGGACTTGCACTGAGACTTCTAATTCTAGGCTGATCTCTTAAAATTCTTTCTGGATGGGGGAGGATGGCCTCTATTGTCTTCAACACATAGGAGTAAATTTTGGTGACCCCAGAATCTGGAAATGAGTTTTGAGAGTGAAATGAGGAAGGAACCCACGAGGAAGGAGGCAAATGCATAGGGCATGCCAAGAAACTAGGATGTGACTGGTTTGAGGTGCTTCCAATCCAGTCACTGTGCCAGAGCATCATCCCAGACAAGCAGGACTGAAGCAATGAATCTATGGCTTGGACTTCGCTTGTGGCAAATGGCTGGAGTGATCCCTCACCTGTGCTATGGCTCACTTGTTTCACCAAAGCCCCAAGCCCTATGGACTTCCAACATATTGCATTTATCAGCCCCTCAGCTTCTCTTAAGAGATGGTTTGTCCAGAATGATGGTCAGCAAAAAGCCTGGAAAAGTGAAGGGGCTAAACCCTCTTGGGTTAACCTAAGGGAGAGGGCACCCAGGCTGGCCAGCAGCACTCTCCAGCGGACCAGAGCTGTCTTGTGGCACAAAGCTGATTGGGGTGATCTGTTCAGCTTAGCCCTTTAAAAGGCTTTTGTGTGGCCAGCCTCTCCACGTGCACTTCTCTTAATAACATAGTTTGACAACGAGGTCTCAGAGAAGCCCCTGGTCAATCACCGATCATCAGTGTCTTTCCAGTTTGCTAGTTGTCACTCTTTTGGGCTCTTTCATCTTTGGGGGGGTCTCAGCTCAGATACCATCTCCCAAACATCCTGTCTCAAGTCTCCTTCAATGGCCTCTCCCCTCATCACCCTGTTTATTTCCATTACCAGCAACTGTCAAATCTGTGACAGATCTTTTTTTAAAAATCTACTTATTTTTTGGAGCGGGGCACTTGGGCCTCCCACGAGGGACAGCAGGAGGTGGGTCTTCTGTTCACCACATTTCCTGTGCCCTGACGGCTGGACTGGGGTTTGGCCTTGGGCTCCTTCTTCTTACTGAGGGAATCCTGATTCGTTTCTTTTCCTGCGCTGATTAATATGCTTAAATTCAGTGGGTTGCCACATCTGATCTGAGGTTACATTCAATTCACTTATTTTAACTAATTAGTTTATGTCCATTCCACATTCACAGTACACCTTCAGAACTATGGCACATCGTAGGAGCCGAGAACCTGCTGAATGAACAGCTGTTAATTTCCATAAACCCCTAAAGGCCTCCTGTTCACAGTGTGCGCCCCATAGGTGTGGCTCAGGGACACAGACCTGCCCCCGCCCCACCCCCAGCTCCCAAGAAGCAGTCAGGGAACGAAACAGTAGGGTTTATTGAGGTGCATGCCCAGGGCCTGAGGCCCAGCTCTCACCAGCTTCTTGTGGGGAAGAGCCCCCTGGCTTCTCCCAATGTCCACATTCTGGGCGATCAATGTCCTGCCCTCACTCTCACCCAGCAGAGAGGCACTGGGTGACAGCCAAGAGAGGGGCTCCGGGTGGCCCAGGTTGCAGCCACCTGATTCTCTGCCGGGCCAAGCTTCCAGAGGTGGGTGGCAGTGCAGTGACCAAGTACCTCCGTCTCAGGCTGAGAGAGGAAGAGTTCAGTTCCTCCCTGCTCCAGAGGGCCTAGCACCTGCTCCTGACAAAGCAGGGAATAATATTAAATAAAAATAATTTATACAAAATGGCTCATACAAAAAGCTGTGGGATGGGAGGAAGAGATGCCTCTGTGAGAGACTGAGATGACTGGAAGGGGCAGGAATGGGGAAGTATACTGCCGCCTCTCCTACTCCCTGAAACAGAGCCCGCCAGCTGCTCAAAGACTGGAGTGGGGCCCTGGCAGGCAGGGTAGGGTCAGAGCAGGGCCAAGGGATCCTCAGGGGGCCAGGCTGGTGAGCAGGGTGGTGAATTGCAGGGCCTTTCCTGCCAGCTGTGTCACACACTGTGCCATCTTTTGGGCTGCAGAACCAGATGGGTAGCCCAGGGCGGCCCCCTTGACAGCGAGCACAGTAGCCCGCAATTCCTGGCCCAGCGCTGTACCTGCAGCCCCAACCTGTGCTCGGAGAGGGGCAGAGGTTGCCAGCCGGCCGAGTGTGTCCCCAACAAACACCAGGCGGTGAGCAGCCACCACCAACCGCTTGCCATGGGGCACGAAGAGGCGTGGGGGCTGATTGGCCCTGGTGCTGGCCCTCAGGGCTGCCACAGCTGCCTGCAGTGCTGAGTAGTGGCTCTGGCACTGCCCTGCGTAGAAGTGCAGGAGCTGCAGGTCTCCAGCGGGCAGAACCAGCGGCTCTCCTGGGGAGAGGACCTCCTATGGGAAGAGGAGTGGTCAGTGGGCACGCTCTCATTAGTGTCACGTCTGCTCTCACGTTCTCTCTCCTCCCTCCTTTTGCTCCTCAGTCCTTCCTTTCTTCCTAGTGCAATCCCTTTAGCTTTTTCCTCTGCCATCAGAATATTTAGATGCTCATAGCAAGCAAGCGACAGGAAAGTGCTTCGAGTTGATGCCAGATAAATCCGGGTTCACTCAACCTCAAACAACTCTTTGAACTTTCTTGTTTTCTTATCTCTAAACTGGGGAAATCTCATACTGCACTGTCCAAAATAAATGTGATTTTAAGTTTTATAGTAGCTACCACATTAAGAAACTGGTAGGCTTTTAAACTCCGAATATAAAAAATGTTAGTCTGCAAAATCTGGTATGTACTTTATATTACAGCACATTTTAATTAGGACTAGCCACATTTCGAGTGATGGATAGCTGTATGTGGCTAGCGGCCACCATATTGGATAGTGCCAGTCTTAGTATCTGCCTCCTAAGGCTGCGGTGAAGATGAATGGACACAATATACAGAAAAGGCTCAAAACAGAGCATTGCACTGTGCGTCCTGTATGAATACTTAGTAGTACTGACACATGAGATGCTCAGTACAGGGTCTGGCACTTGGTAAATACCTGATAAATAGGAGCTATTGTGATTTAAGACCATTTTAGACAGAGTCAAGGAGACCACTTCACTTTCCTGAGGCCCAGAGAGACTAACTGGCCAATTCAGAGCCCTTGGCTTCTTAATGGTAGAATGGGGATTAGGAGGCAGGTCTCTTAGGAACCCAGGAATTCAGCTGGAAGGAGCCTCAGAAGTCGCCTGGCTCAGCTCTGACCCACAGCCCAGAAGCCTTCTGCTCCTGACTCCTTGGTTTTCTGATTCCTCTCCAACACATTCTTTCCCCTCTTTCTGAATTCCTGATATCCTTTTCTAAGTTCCGGCTCCTTCTCACTGAATTTTAACTCTTGTCTACTCCAACTGCTTCATTTCACTGAACTTTTACCCAATCCTCCTGTAGTTCTGTCGTTGGTTCGGTTAAGAATACCCCTTCGCTGTTCCTGCCCCTCTGCCCGCAGTCCCTTTCTCTAGCATCACCGCCACAGGATTACCTGCTGCTCCGGTGGGCCCCTCTCCAACAATTCAGGATCCCCAGGGAAGGTCTTATCCAGGGGCCTAGATCCCTGAGCTTTATCCATACCCTGCAGGAAGGGGTCAGGGTCTCAGTGCAGGGGTGGGGGGGCAGGGCTGGGTGGCCTCCCTAGTCTCCCTGGCCCTCCCTACTTCCCATTCCTTCTGGAGGTCCCTCCTGCCATTAGAAATTGCAGTCCCTGGACTCCAGATCTGGGAGAGCTCTGGTGGCCAGTCAAAGGGCTCACGGTCCCCAGCCTGGGTTTAGGGGGAGGAACGCGGCACTGGTACAAGTGGTGTTGCCAAGTACTGGGGTCCCAGGCCAGAGGGTGCAGGGCCAGTGGAGAAGGAGGGAAGGAAGGAAGGGAGGCTCTCACGTGGGCCCCAGGCTTTCTCACTTCTCCCTGTGGTTCAACAGGGGGCACTTTGGTTGGGGCTGGCTGGAGGTGAGCTCACCTTCAGGTGGACATAGTCGTACTCCTCGGCCATCCGGATGCCCTCGTACTCATTGTGTTCCTCTGCTGAATCATCCTCCACCTCCTGGCCCTCTGAATGCCCCTCACCCTTAGGGCCTGCATAGCCAGACAGGCGGGGTGGGGGTGGAGGCAGAGGCCTGTCCTGGATGCTGCCCTTTCTTCCTGGAGCAGGAGAGGGAGCCGTGGAAGGGCTGGGGGCCTCAAGGACAGGCAGGGCAGGCAGAGGGCGTCGGGACAGGCTCTCAGCAGAGGGCAACCGGGGCCTATGAGAGGGGGGAGGGCTCCTGGCCAGAAGCAGGGCCCGGGTGTCTGTGTCATTGAAGGCCGAGGCTCTCAGGAGCTCTGGAGATGAGGGTGTCTCTGGCCCCAGCAGGGGCACGTCGTAGATGTCTTCGTCACTGCCCCCGCCTTCCCCATTTGCTAGCAGTTCCTCTGGTGCTTCGTACAGATTGAGCAGGGCTGATGCCCGTTTCAGGTTGGAGGGGGCAGCATAGAGAGGGGGCCCTGGTTCTCGGCCCTCCTCCCACTCCAGATCTGGCTCCAGCTCTGACGGTGGCTTCGGGGCCAGAGGCACATCATAGGGAGCTTCATCCTCTCCAGGGGTTTGCGAAGTGACCCGGGCCAGAGGGCGGGAAAAGGAAGCAGGGGAGTCATAGGGGCCACTGGAAGGAACTCGGAGGGCAGAGTGGGGCACGTCATATACCTGGAGAAGGAGTGGCTAGTTACCATCAGGTTCAGCACTGGTCTCCGTCCAGAGCTATCTGTTTTCTGTGCGACATACGCACAGACCTCTAGCCCTCACCTCCGAGGCATCTCCAGGAGCAGCCAGTTGGGTCCCACCGCCTCTGGGGACCTTGTAGATGGGGTCAGGAGAGGGCAGGCAGGGTCCAGCTGGAGATCCTGAGGTCAGGCAGGGCCGAGCTGGGGGTGGCACCACATACACCTGGGGGATCAAGGGGTGGGGGTCAGGAGAAGGGGGCCCAGGGAATCAGATCACGTGTGCCTTGGAGGAGTGTAAACACCTCCCAACCCCCTCCCTGTCCCAAGGGGAAGGAGAACCCAGAAAGGGTTGGTGGGCAGGCTTTCTACAGCAGAGCCCTGAAGAGCTGTGGTCTTAGGGCTCTCCCTGCCCAGCCTCGCTGCAGGCACCAGCAGAAGGGAAAGGGGCTGTCCTGGCTGGGGGTAGGGAGGGCTCCAGCTCTCACCTCCTGGTCCTCATTGCTGTGCTCTGGGGCTGGATATGGTGAGCCAGGCACCTGGGAGAGGCTGGGCTTGGGTGCCGGACCATCAGGAAGGAGCTTCACTCTGTTGGCGGGCACAATGCCCTGCTGGCCATGCAGGGAGCAGAGGCACCAGCCGTCCAGCCCACCAGCACCCTCCCTCTGCAGTACCCGTAGAACGTCCCCTCGGCGGAAGGACAGCTCCTGGGGGGACTCAGCGGTGTTGTCGTAGAGTGCCCGGGCCAGCAGGGCCTGGTGGGTGAGGTGGGAGTGGGAAGAGGGGTCTTCACACACACATATTAAGTCATGGCACCTCCTGTTCAAAACACTTCAGAGCTCTCGGTTTCCCTCAAGCTAAAAATCTGACCTCCTGTCTCAGCCCTTCCTGACTGGGCCCTGCCTTGTCTCCCACTTCATTCCCTGCACACTCCCTCTTCATTTCTATTCCTGGAACTAGACAAGCTCTTTTCCACCTCAGGACCTTTGCACTCGCTGTTTCCTTTACCCAGAGGGCTCTTCCCCTGACTGGCTGTTTTTCTGTGAGAACAAGGACTGCTGTAATCCTAGCCTCTGCAACAGAGCCCAACCTGGAATCCGTTCTCAATAAACATATATTAAATGAATTTCTTCCAAAGCTTCATGTATTCAAGGAAGTCCTGCTAAACTCTCTCACAGAATCTCCTTTACCTTCCTCGTTCCCCAGTCAGCATCCCCCACAAGCAAAAGGTTAGATGGAGCAGCTGCAGAGACCCCTCACTCTGAGAGGGATAAAAAAACAGAAACCCAAGCAATTGTTTTGTTCTCAGTCTGAGCAAATCAGGTTCTCAGAAGAGACAGAGGTTACCATGGAGAAAAGTGTATAGACTTGTGTGTGTGCACGTGGGCACATGTGTAGTGGGGCTGGTGGACCAACCAAGAGCTAGTATTTATCAGCTTTTTTCCAGTCCTTTCTGGTAGGAACATCTAAGCTTTTTCCTTGGAGAGCAACATGCTCAGGTAATAAATCACAGAGACCAAGCGCAAATTATGTATCCAGACACTGTGCAAGTCTTTGCACTAATCGTCTCATTTAATCCTCACAGCAACCTTAGGAGGAAAGAGCTATCCTTACCCCCATTTGGAAAGGAAACTGGAACAGAGAGGTTAATACTATTCCCCAGCTGGTACAGTTGGTGGAGCATGATTTGATGGAATCAGGCTCTTTGATTCCAGAGCCTGTACTCTCAATCACTCTTCTGCCTCTCCACAATCACAAACCTTATGGATTGACTTCTCTTCTTATTTTAAAACAGTGGTTAAGTCAAGAAAGTCCATGACTCAAACGTGACTCAAGCACATATGAAAGCTTCATTTTACACAATTTCCCTTTGCTAGTCACCCTTCACAGGGCTCTGGTTCTTGGTTAGAATCTAGCTCTCACCACTCACAGTATGGAAATATATTCCGCTTCAGTTATGTTTGCAAAGTGACTATAAACCAGGCAGTGATGGCTTACACAGTGATGGTGGAGAGCAAGCAGTTAGGCATTACTGAGCAAGTGATTCATATGGGTTAATTCAGTAAAATGTCTCAAACTAAAGATCTCTGGCAGGCTGTATTTGGTCACCAGGCCATGGGGAAAAGGATGCCCTGCTCAGCCAACATTAGTGCATGTTTCTCTTGGCTGGTGTTTTCCTTGGCTGGAGAGGCTGTCCAGCCTTCCACGGTGAAATTGTGATTTCAACAATTTCAACAAACTGACTTCTCCTCTTCCAGACTCATCAACCCATTTTATGATTATACTGGCTTCTAAAGGACATTGTCCCACAGAAAGAAAACATGCTAACCAGTTGACATAAGTTCCTGATTAGCATGGCACTTTTCTAATTATAAAATATAAGTCAGTGTTTTGGATCTAGCCAGGGTTTTAAGAGCACAGTTCGGAGGCAGACAGAACTGGGTTTGAGTTCTGGCTCTATCCATTTCTAACTGAGTGACTTTGGGCAGGTTCTTAAGCTTTTCTGAGCCTCGCCCTGACTGGTGTGACTCAGTTGGTTGAGTGTCATTCACAAAGCAAAAGACCTGCCTGTTTGATTCCTGGTCAGGGCACATGCCTGGGTTGGGGGCCAGGTCCCAGGTTGGGGATGTGTGAGAGGCAGCCAATCGATGTTTCTGTTTCTCAAATAAATAAATAAATACATACATAAATAAAATTAAAAACAAACAAACAAAAAAACTCTTTCTGAGCCTCAGTTTCCTCTGTAGAATTCCATATCCACATCTGAATATCCATTTGATAATAAGAGTACTATCCTCACAGGTATGTTGTGAAGACGGGACAAGATAATGCATCCAGCAACCAGGACAGAGCTTAGGGCTAGTAAATGCTCAATAAATATTAGCTGTTTTTAGAATCCTGTGAGTTGGATTAGCACAAATACCCCCACCTCTGTGTAAAAAGAAAAATCTACCTCCTGGGACTACATAGCTGACTAGCTTACTCCTGAGCCAGCATCTTTATGTCAGAGTACATCCCCTGTTCTCAGGATCTCCCCCTCTCCCAACTCCGAACACTCTGGCGGTTTTTCTCACCATCATACAGATGGAGGAATTAAAAGGAGTTTGGTCTGAGAAGGAGTGAAAATTGAAGTCTTCCTACAGGGATATGGGAGGATGTCAGGAGCCATACTTGTCTTTCCAGCCTCCTCTTGCAGAGAAACCATTCAGAGGGGGCAAGAAAGCAGGTGGCAGCTTTGGCTTTGCTTTCACTGGGAATCCTAGGGCCTAGGGAAAGGTGGAAAGGGGACAGAGTTGTTTGGCATTCGAACCGAGAAGTGCAAGACCGAATGCAGAGGTGGGGCTGTGGAGAGCTCCTCCCAGTGTTAGGTTTGAATTCTGTCCAATGGGACAGAACTTGTGGGCCTCACACTTGCAGGAACTCAGGCCAGAGCTGCTGATAGACTGATAGATGATGGGTGTGGTCACCCCTGCTCTACCCTTCCTCAGGGACTAGGCTGACTTGTGAGGGAGGGGCTGCCTTAATGGGGTGGCAGTGGGCCACACGCTTCCTAGGACTCCTCCTCCCACTGTCCCATCATGCAAGCTGTCTCCTCCCTTTGTCCCCAGAAAGTGGCCAGAGGCTAGCTGACATCACCTCCCCCCTTCTTCTATATTCTCTTTCTCCCTGCCTGATCTCCCTCTTTGCTCCATTTCCTCCCTTTCCTTCATCCCTCCTCTAGAGATGGGCCTCCTTGGGCCCTCCCCCCTTTCCCGATTTCCTGCAGTCACCTCCATTCTTCCAGCCCCCTCCCAACCTTTTACTTGCCTCCCAATCACAAGCCCCAGCCAGCCACCAGTGGCCATCTGTTCCCGCCAATAAATGAGCAGATAGGGCTAGACTTGCCCCCTCCCCTCTATCCAGGACAGCCTTTAGAAAGAAAAAAGAGAAAGGGGAGGGGGAAGGGAAAAGGGGGAGCCCAGACCCAGAAGGAGCTAGGGAAGAGGAGAGAGAACGGAAAACAAAAGTGAGAGGAGAAGGACACAGCCTCCTGGGGAAGGGACCAGGAGAGAGACAAAGAAGACAGAAATAAAAGTGACAGGCGTGCAGGGCAGCTGTGGAGTTCTCTGCCCAGTAGCCTCCTCTCCAGGGTGGACTCACCGACGTGGCTATGGCCATGGCTTTGGCCTCTCGCGCGGCCTGCTCCAGGCCAAGCTCGGTTTCGCTGACTTCAGCAGCGGCTGCCCTGCACCATGGAGGCGGCCCCCGGCTTTGGCGCCTGAGTCGTGGCCTCCGCAGAGGTTGGAGGAGGAGAAAGAAAACCCACAAAACTCCCCAAATGGGAGGCAACTTGGCCTGGCAGGAGGAGGAGCAGCGGGGCGGGCTGGGGCGTCGCTGCGGGACCTCATCCAAGGGTGCGCTGTCTGTACTGTCCCCGCGGCCTCCCGGGGGCCGCCGAGTTGGCCAGGCCCCCGGAGCTGCCTGCCCTAGGTCGTGGAGGCACCCCAGGTCCGCAAGGTCCAGCTCCCTTTCAGACTGCGGCAGGCGAGGACGGAACTAAGACGCTCGACGCCTCTCCGGGCCGCTCAGGACAGCCCCGAGGGCTGGGAGAAGCCGCCGGGGCGGTTGAGCTGGACGAGCGAGTTTAGGAACCAACCCCACCCCACCCGGGGTCTGAAAGCAGGGCTCCCAGGGGCTGCGGTCGGGGTGCCTGGGGCATGCGACGGCCCCTCTGCGGGGGAGGGCGGGAAAGTTAGAACTGAGCCCTGTATCCCTCTTCAAACTCGCCCAACTTGGCGAAAGGAGGCCAGGCTGACGCCAAAGGCCTGCGCGAGCGTGGCCGTGCGGTTGCGTTGCCTGAGTGGCTGTTTTCGGCCCAGGCACTCGCACCCCAGGCGGCGAGTCGGGTCGCGCTCTCGCACTCACTCTCAGCACGCCCCGGGTCCGGGGGCGCCGTGAGGGCACGCGGCACGGCTCGGATGGACGGACTGCCTTTCCAAAGCCAAAGAGGGGCTCGCCGGCCCCACCCGCCCTCCTCCGCCACTCGGCAGCAGAGCGCAGGGCCACCTGCGCCAACTCCCACCCGCGGCTCCCTGCCCTCGCCGCCGGCCCGCCGCCCCGCTCACGCGCACCCTAGCCAGGGCCTCTCGGCTCCCCCAGACCTTGGGGCAGCTCCCAGGTGTCCCTGGGAACGGAGTAAAAGGCCACGAAGCAAAAGGAGCAAAGACGAGGCGAAGGAGGGGCAGGGACCAGGGGCCTAGAGGTGGGGTGGACACTGAGGGCTGGGAAGGCTCTGGGAGTCGCGCGGGGCCTCTAGGCTCACCCCGGCTCGCGGCTCCCCTTCCCTCCCCTTCCCGGGCTCCAGGCTCCCTCTCAGTGCAGTTCCTTTCTCCTCCCCTCGGGCCCTCTCCGCTCCGGCGCGGGGCTCCGTCCTGGGGATTGAGAGAAAGGAGGGAGGGGAAAAGGGAGGGGGAGGGAAGGGGAGGAGGAGAAAGGAGGACGATCCCTCCAAAGGCGGGTGTTGAGTTTCAGCTCAGGACCCTCGGGCCAAACTGCACGCCCCCTCCCGGCCCCAGTCTCCCTAGTCTTCTTTCTCCAGACGTCGCGTCGGCCCTCCGGGTGGTCCGGTCGGCTCACTCCTGGGGGCTTGCCTCTCCCTGCCACGCCCCCGATCTCCCCCGCCAGTCCCGCGCCTCTCTCTGCCTCCCTTTCAATAGCCCTACATCTGTCTTCCCCGTGGGAGGGAGTGCACTCCTTCCGCCTTTCTGTGTCCTCCGTAGAGCCTCTCTTCTCCCTTGGCGTTGCCTTTGCAGAGGTGACGGGGTTAACGGCCTTTCCTGCGTGAAGCAAGCCGGGGGCCTGGGTCTGGACGTGGACTCCAGCCCTGGCAACAGAACGTGAATCCTGGGTGTCTGGTCCCAGAGCTTCAGGCAGGCTAGTCGTGCTGCTTCTTACACTCCTCTGCCAGCCTGGGCCTGCCCCTGGCCCTCTCCCTGGCACAAATCTGCTGCCAAGAAGAGCAGGAGAGGGGACCACGGCCACGAAAGGGCAAAACTCTTTCAGAGGAGCTGTGGTCTGGCCTTCCAGGAGTTTCCACGGAAAGGACAGGGCTCTTGGGTCTCCACACCTCTCCTACCATATTACTGCTGCTTGGTGTGAGTGCACTGTCTCTTTCTAGCTACCCACCCCCCTCCCCATCCCTCGTTTTTTTTTGTTTTTGTTTTTTTCCTTTTGGGGCACAACATGTATCAAGGCCTTGCAGGGACTGGAGGGAAGACTTTCTTCTCTTTTGAAGGTTTCTGGTATTTCAAAAGTGAGATGCCAAACAGGATTGAAAAGCTGTAGTCTATTTTTAATATTTACATTTAACAAATTAATACTTCAAATCGTTGACGTAAGAAATGTCCAGATATGTAGAGAATTTTTAGGTTTTTATTTGAGTCAAACTGAAGACAATGTCTGGAAACAAGATCTCAAATGCTCTGGGGAATGACAGTTTTGCCGTTTCTTTTCTACATTTGGAATTAAGGAGGGAATTTAAGGAAGATTACATGAAGGTGGGAGAAAGCAAGGCACAGGATAGTTAACTAGATTATGTGCTCCCTTGAAGGGTGGTTACCCTTCAAGAGGTCTGGAAAAGAAGATTACTGGTACTTCTGGCATTTCAAAGGTGTGTGAACCTAGAACAGTGGACAGGGCTTTCTTAAAAACCTTTACCAAAGAAGTTATAAAAGCCTGGGGCATGACTACCCAACATGACCTGCTCAGTCAAGAATTTATGATCAGATTTCCCTGTGAGGCTATTTTCAGTCACTGCACTTGTTCCTATCCCCGTTTACATCCACAAAACACAAAAAATAGACTATGTATAACCTCATTTGGCAGTAACTTCGAAAATCTAAGGCCCTTTGTGAACTTCAGGCCTCGGGCAGATAGATACTCCCCTCTCCACATTCCACAGGCCCACAGGCATTTTCCAGTGTAGGGAGGAGGTAAGGATACCTGCTTTGACTGGTATTCTGAGAATACCCCCCACCCCCTTCTTTCCTTATTGCCTGGACACCTATGAAAAAAAACGCTCTGGAGCCCTGGCCGGTATGGCTTAGTGGATTGAGTGAGAGCTGGTTTGATTCCCAATCAGGGCACATGCCTGGGTTGCAGGCCGTTCCTCAGCTGGGGGCGTGCCAGAGGCAACCAGTCGATGTTTCTCTCCCTCTCTTTCTCCTTCCCTTCCCCTCTCTCTAAAAATAAATAAATGTAATCTTAAAAAAAAAAAGTCAGAAATCTCTAAAGAAAGAAAGGATACTCTGCAGAGGGGAGGGGTAAAACCTATGGGGCTGATCAAGGAGAGATTCTGGGATGAACATGGGAATGGACAATATTGGTTCTGGGCTTGGTTCAGAGATGGCAGTTCAGACCTGGGCATGGGGCTCGGAATCCTGAATGGACTTGGACTCTCTTAGGATGGGAGAGGAACTTTTAAATTTCTAGAGGCACCTGAAGAGAAAGTTCTTCCATCCCAGCTCCAGCCTCATCCAACTTCCAACAGACCCCAGCCCTAGGAGGCCTCGGCTGCTGGGAACACACACACTAAGGCAGTGCCTCTGTGATCCCTGCCCAGGGGACAGCCAAGGTGAGCACTCTGACTGGTACATTGGAAACAGATGGAGGCCGGGAAAGGCTAAGCAGGAAAGAAGCTCTAGGACCAGGCAAAATTGTTGTTTGGGAGGTGGACAGGGGGGCTCAGTACTTGGGGAAATGCAGGTGTGGGCAGCAGAGTGCAAATCTGCAGGAAAAAAAAGACTGACTCTGAGCACACACAGACTTGGAAGTGAATCCTATAAGCTGTGCGATTTTGGTCAAGTTACATAACGTAACTGAGTCTCAGCTCCTCACACGTTAACAGTGATTTTGGTGAAGAGTGAGTATGTGTGAAGTGCCCTGCACAGTGGTGATTTCCCTCCATGGCTTTTCCTCTTTACCTTGGCTCTGCCCCCATCTTGTGCTCTCGTGAAAGATGAAAGGTTTTTTGCTGAGGGCAGGAAGAGCCTTTCCCTTGTCTTGTACCTCGTCCTTGCCTTCTCTTTCACAGAGGTTTAAGGTGATTCTAGCTTTTTCAGGGAGAGCTGTGGGCTCCAGGTTAGGTTGGAGAAAGCCCAGGCTGGGTGGACAGCTAAGGCCCTGGGAGGCAGCCTCAGGCAGCCAGGCCCTCAGCTTTGAGACCTTACTTTGCTATGTTCAGGGGAAGAAAGGAAGGAACCCCTCCATCTGGCTTTCTGGGCCTCAGTCTTCTCTCCCCTTTCCAGCAGGGCCGCCCTGCTGGCCTCTCCCTCATCCCACCCTGACTTCCTTGACCTGTTCCGTGTTCTTCCTGCTACTCAAAACTTCTCAAATGAATTCTTCCAGTTCTTCCTCCTTTGGAGCCCTCAGCATCCAGATTGCCTGGGTTCTTATCCTTGTTCCAGCACTCGCTAGTGACTTTGGCAAGTTACATGACCTCTCGGAGCCTCTGGTTTCCTCTCTATAACGTGGGTAATAATGGAACTCATGATGTATAAATGTTGGATAAAAGCAACTATTACTGGTATTTGATGTCCGCCTCGAGTGGGGGGAGCAGAATATCAAGGACTCGGGGCCTGCGCTCAGCCAATTCCCATCACCGAGGTTGTGCTTAAATCCAGCCAATACCTCCCCACTGATCTTGGCATAAAATCCAAATGCCCCACGACGTCACCCAACATGATCTGGCCCCTGCCCACCTTTTCCGCCTCATCACATCCCACTCTCTGCCCCGCCCTTTGCTTCCCATCCCCATTGTCTTTTCTTATTCTCAAATATCCCCAGCTGTTTCCCACCTCTAGGACTCTGCAGGTCCTGCTGCCTCCGCCTGGGCCACTTATCCTCAGAGAGGCCTTCCGTGGCTGTCTAAGTGACAGCCACCCCCTGCCTCCATAATTTCCTACCTCATAACACTGTTTCATTGTTTTCATAGCATTTATTATTACCAGAAATTATCTGTTTCCTTATTTATCTTCTGTCTCCTCCTAAGATGGAAGTTTCCTGAGGCAGGAACCTTATCTGGCTTGTCCTCCTCTGCATTGCTACTATTTAAAATAGTGCCTGGTATAAAGTACAGTAGGTGCTCAATAAATATTTAGTGAATGGGTAAATGGACAGGACAGCCGCGACTGCAGGACAGAGCTGAGCAAGCCATGGGCCCTCTCCCTCTGGGGAGATACCAGCACCCAGCTGGAGAGGGGGCTGTGGGGCTCCTTGTCTTGTGCAATCTGATTCTCTGTGTGTCTCCCAGGCAGACGGGGTTCTCTTTGAAGGCAGGCTCCTGAGCCTAAGCATCTTGTAACTAAAGGTGACACTGCAAATCATTAGCAACCAGTACCATTATCACCTATCAATCAGTACATGAAGCAGGGTTTGGGAGGCCCTACCTGGGCCAGGCCTTCAGTTGCAGGACCACAGGGAGGCTGTGATAGATAGGGGTGGCCCTGGGCTGAGGATATCCTATATTTCCTGGCAGAGACAGACGTATTTCAACACTGTAACCCCCAGAACCCCCGCCTCACATCGAGTGAGTGTAGATGAGCTTCAATAAACTCTGCTGAGTCCTGTGGCTTCAGCACCATTTCTGGAGCTGAGGTCCAGAGCAGCTAAGCTGGTTGGTACTTTTGTGGCCATCCAGGTTAAACCCCTTCCCGCCCCCAACACGCACATACTTCTACAAATAAGGAGAAAGGACCAGAGAGGGTCCAAGGTCAAGAGCTGATCAGAGGTGCGGTTAAGACTTCAAGGCAGCAGGTGAAGATTTGAATGTTGTCCTGAGAAAGGGCAGGACAACCGTATTCTAGCTTTCTGCAAGCCCCAGGAGACTTTTGTGACCAAAGGCCACATCTTCTCTGCCCTTTTCTGCTAGGTGCTGATCTCTCTTCCCAGGGGCATGGGGGTGGGTCTCCCAGTAGTTTTCTCTGGCTGCCAGGTCAGGCCCAGGCCGGTGAGAACACACGGGAGGCATCCTTGATGTCAGGTGCTGGGTGACCTTTTCTTTGCTCCCACCTCCAGCATTCTCCCCATTGATACACCCATCTCCCCACACCCCCAAGGATTCCCTGGAAGCTGAAGTGACTCAGGGATTCCAAAACTAGTCACCCCAGGAGGAAAACCCTCTGGAAAATGCTTCTCATGGCAGGGAGTCACCCTGAGGAATCCCACAGAGATGCTACTGAGATAAGTAAGAGGAGAGGCTGAGCAAACGGGGTGCAGGGCGGGGGTGGCTGCAGCGGGGTGTGTGTTGTGGCTCAGATCACGCGGTTCTGTGTCAGGCCTGATGTCCCTAGAGGAGACTGTGTGTGCGGAGGGGCCCTCCCTCAGCCTTTCAGGGGTTTCCTCAGAGAAGGTACTGCTACAGAGGTAGGGGGACACCCCAAAGGCCTCTCCTGAAGGCCAATGTCATGGTCAAACACACAGGTTTTTTGCAACATCAGCAAGTAGTAAGTTGCTGGGATCACTCCCAGCTCTTTTGAGCACCCCTTCCTGGCCTGGGGTCGGGGTGGGGGGTGGGGGGGGAGGTGGGCAGTTCAGGCAAGATCCAGAGGTTTGGGCCAATGTCGGGCTCTGGGGCTTTGACTGGTTTGGCGGAGACCCATAGGGATTCAGGTCTTCTGGAAGGGCACCACCCTCACAGAGCCTCTTCTGGGGTTGGCGGTCGCTCAGGAACACCGAGGGCCACCCTAGGGGCCTTGTGCCCGACCCTGGGCTGGGGAATAGCAGTGAGGAGCCGTGGGTCCCCGCCAGCAGGACAGAATGCCTGAGTGAGCAGGAATGGCCTGTGGCCTCAGTCAAGTTTAAGGGAGACCTGTCCCAGCTGAAGTCCAGGTGAGTAGAAAAGCACTTACATGGGGACTTTCCATCCCTTTGCAGCCAACCAGGGGCTGCAGAGTGTGGCACCTCCATGCCAGGAACTTGGATTTGGAGTTGGTCAGGGCTGGAGTGGAAAACCAGCTCATCCTCTTCCTGAGTGACCTTGCGGAGGCCACTAAATTTCTTTGGGTCTGTTTCCTTATCTTAATATGAGATAATAGGGATGAGGGTTTCCACCTCATGGTTTTATTGGAAGGGAAAATGAGCTGATGCATGGACAGGCCTTGACACCGTCCTGGCTCATGACACACAGAGCTGAGAGGCCAACTGAGTGTGGGAGTGAGAATGTCTTGGAGGACACGGGAGCGGGGTGATGGACTCCTGACTCAGTGCTCTCTTCAGTGTCCCTGCTTTCCCAGTTGCTACTTGTTTGCCCCGAGCCCTACCCCACCGCAGGTTCTAGGGCCTTCACCAGCCAGCTTCTTCCAATCCTCCAGAATGCCCCCTGACCTCAGTACTACTATGCTTTGGCACTGCTTTGCCCTAAAGCAGTGATTTTCAGCCGGTGTGCGGAGACACATTGGTGTGCTACAGTACTTTTTAAAACATGCAACACCCGGCTATTTAGCCGGGCACTGACCTCTCTTTGCTTAGATTGTCAAATTAAAAAATGACAACAGCCAACACAAAAATAGCCGTCCTGTGTGAATGAATCGAAATTATACCTATTTTTTTTGGTCAGATGAGCAAAAAATATAATATAGCTTTTGGTGTGCTGCAGAATTTTAGTAATTAGTTTATATGTGCTGTGAGATGAAAAAGGTTGAAAATTGCTGCCCTCAAGCATTTAAAGGATTCCTCCTCATGTTACAGTTAGTTATTCCTGGCTCTCTTTGTTTATTTCTTGTGTCCTTGGTTACGAGAGGAGTATTTTCTAAGGGAAAGCACATGCAAATGAGGAAACATCATTCTAGAGACAATGTCAATATATGGTGTGTGCAGGGGTGGGGCGGTAGTAGGTGTGGGGTTTGGGGGGGGTCAGTGGGCAAGGATGAGAGAAAAGGCCTGGAGGGAAGTAGGCTCTGGCCTGCTCTCAGCACAGTGCCTCCCAGGCTGGGTGTCCCTGGCTGACATGTGCCTTTGGGGTCAGGCCCAGCCTGAACCACTGTGAACACAGTTGCGCACCCCTACCCTGCTGCCCCAAGCCCCAGCCAGATGGGCTCATCTCACGGCCTGAGAGCAAAAGCTACCCCTACCAAGACCTTGTCCCCAAGGCCCTGTGAGTGGGGGCAGAGGTGGGCAGGCTGGTCCCTGGAACCCAGATCTCCTGCTGGGTTTTAGATGAGGCAGTTACCAGGCCCCTCCTCTTCTTGGCTTTACCTTCTCATTTGTGCAGTGGGAACATTCACCCACAGCTTCTTCCATCAGACCTTGCATATGGAGCCAACACACTGAGGGGAGGGGGCCATTCCGGCAGTCCTGTGGGATCAGGGAAAGGGCAGGGATAGGGGCTTGGGGGGGGCCATTGGAGAGGGCGAGGGTAAGTAGGGAGCAGGTGCTGGACAATGAGGAGAAGTCATAGGCGATGGGGTCAAAGAAGTTGAGGTCATTGAAGATGAGGAAGGGGTCACAGAACAGAAGGGTTGATGGTCACAGGAAGAGAGTGGAAATGTTCACTAAGGTGGGTGATCAGGAGGACTTCTGAGAAGAAAGGGAATGGTGGAGACAAGAGTATAAGTGGGAGCAGCAGAGATCGTGAAAATGAGGCCCCTCAGAGAGAGGACAGATAATGTCCCCTAATTTTGACTCCCAAGCCAATCAGAGAAATTCCCATAATGCTCGTTTTAAAGTCTCAGAAGAGCAGAATACTATTGCTTTGACTCCACACAAAGAACAAAATTTACCTAATTGGTTTCCAGGCTTACAATGAAGTTCATCACAACTTCCATGAGTACAGCATTTTAAGCAGCTTTGGAACACTGTCAGGTTTTCTTGGGTTTTGTTTTGTTTTGTTATTTTAATCTCAGGTTACTCCCTCCAAAAGGTAGTGGAAATAAATTTGAATAAGCAAAACAGGTTTGCTGAAAATAAAAGCAGGACTCCTCAACTGCCCCAGCCAGCCTGCTTCCACGGGCCCTGCCTGTCAGCCTGTACAGCGCCGCCCTGGGAGAGCAGCATCTGGCATCCAGCATGTTCCAGGTGAGTGCCAGAGGCCCGGTGGGGACAGTGCCAAGCAGGAAAGCGGCAGGGGTGTTGCTGGAGTAGAGGGAGGTTGGGCTCTGAGGTTTGGGGCTGGGGATCAGGTGGAGCTAGAAACCAGGATCTCAGGGAACAGCTGGGAGAGGGGCACCCGGACTAGCTGGGAGCAGTTGTCTCACTGGCCTTTTCCTACAGGTGGTTGCCTTCTTAGCAATAGCCATGGGGGCCCACGCCCTCAATTTGCGGCTTCAGAAAGACTGTGTCCTCTGGCCCAGCTGCTTCCCCGGCAAAGGACAGGACCCCACTGAGGAGCTGCGGAAGTTGAACACTGTGCTCATGCCTCCCCCAGAGACTGATAGCCTTGCCCACCATGCGGAACTCTGCAGGGCCAGCGAAGACGGGCCCCTCCACAGCAGGTCCATCTCCCCTTGGAAATACGAGTGAGTCTGGTGTCCCCTCCTACGTCCTTGCATATGTGCCAGGCAGGATGCGTGTGAGGGGCTGAGGGAGGTCTTCGCAATTCCAGCCTACCTGCCCCTTTTTATCTCCGAGAGGCCGTGAAGGTTTGGGTGTTGGTCTGGGTCCTAGCTCGGACTCTTACTGGGCAACCTTGGGCCCATTGCTCAAGGATTCAAAGCTCAGGTTATATTTCATCTGTAAAATGAGATAATACCACATAGGCTAAGGTGAAGATCATATGAAATAATATATGTAAAATCTATATTTAGTACATAGAATGTTGGTTCTCTCCTCCTCTCCTCCTCTTCCTCCTCTTTCATCCCTACAATGGCCATGCTTTTCTAACTAGAATATCAGGGAATCACGGTATGATACAGGCACGAAGCATCCCAATAACAAATGCTTTGTCCAGGGATGTGAGTGGGTTATAAATATACCAGGTAATGAAATCCTCAACCCGGGGGAGGGGAGTACAGCTGGGTGGCTGGAGCACCAGCTTGCTTACCTTGGATCACGGGCAGCCTTACTCAGTGTGCCACACAAACGTTGTAATTCTCTATTCGTGCCATGATGTGAAAAATATTAGGAAGCACTGAAATAGAGACAATGAAACAAACTACTAAAAATTAGGCCTTAGGGACCCTAAACATACTTCTGCTTCTGTCTTGTCCTCACAGGGTGTCTGTGTTCTTACCCCTCTTAAGTCTAGTCAGGCTTAACCTTGGCTTTGGGGATGAGTGGAGAAGTTCAGTAGGTAGGGAGGAGGTCGGCTCTGATTGGGACTAGATCCAAGGTGAAGACTCCCAGGCACCACGCCTTGCAGTGATTTCAGAAGGCTGGCAGGGTCCTGGGCTAAATGTGAAGGGTGGAAGCCCCTTTGGGAAGGCTGGAGGTCAGATGGCTAGCTGGGCTAGGGACCAGATCCCCCACTGGGAGGTTGTGAGCCCCTCATAACCACTCAGGTGGTCTTCTCCAAAGTGGGTTCTTTGCAGTACTCGCCTCGCAGGCTGCCCTTCAGAGAAAAAGCGGTGATGTCCAGCAAGTGTGGGTAAAGCTGCTCTAGCCCTGACCACTGGTAGACTCACAATGTGCCCAGCACATTAAAGTCTGCAAGAACTCAGCAGGAAAGAAACCATTAAACTCATTTGATCGCAGAACCAAAAACCTTTTCTTGCAAGGTACTTATAAAGGAACCCACTTTGGAAAGTGCTGTGTTAGCTGAGTCTTAGCTTCTGAGGGCTTGTCTACATGGACAATGGTCTTACAACCTAGTAGCTATTTCCTGCTAGGTTCTGGAGTCCCAGACGTAGGGAACTTCTATTTTTCACTTTTTTTTTTTTGACCACTATATCCTTTCAGAATAAATAAATAAGTCTCACCGTGCACGCTAACATGTGCTTATACCATGTGCACAGATGGTGCCGGGAGGGAGTGCAGGAGATGGGTGACAGTGGCGTCCTCTGGGGAGTGGGACTGGTAGGGAGTTGGACTCTTGGTCTTCATTTTACACTTTTTAATGTAAGAGTAGTTTTTACTTTTATAATTAAAAACACCCTCAAGTGTAATAACAATTACAAAGAGAAACTTCATGCCAGAGCACAGTGTGTATATCAGATCGCAGAGCTGGTCTGGTAGAGGCTCAGGCGGGAGCCTGCTGCCCTGGCCTCCTGTAGGGTTCCAAGACCCGTTGGAAAGCTATGCTTCCGTCCTGACCCTCATGGTGGGGGAAAATAAATCTCGGGGAGAAGGGGGTGATTTGTTCGAAGTCACCCAGCAAGTGGGTGCCAGAGCTAGGGCAAGAAGCCAAGCCTCCCAACCATACCCTTTCCTTCCTCTGGCTTTTCCTCCCTGGTTCTGGCTCAGGCCCTGTCTGTCTGGCTAGCTTCCCTCCAGGGCCTGACTGACTAGTGCAATCCCCACAGGTTGGACAGGGACTTGAACCGGCTCCCCCAGGACCTGTACCACGCCCGCTGCCTGTGTCCACACTGCGTCAGCCTACAGACGGGCTCCCAAATGGACCCCCTGGGCAACTCGGAGCACCTCTACCACAACCAGACTGTCTTCTATCGCCGGCCATGCCCTGGAGAGAGGAGCACGAGTGATGGCTACTGCCTGGAAGGCAAGCTCTATCGTGTCTCCTTGGCTTGCGTGTGCGTGCGGCCTCGTGTGATGGCCTAGTCATGCTGCCCTTGGCTGGCCCCTGGTTGGAACACTGGAGCTGGGTGTACAGCCGTCCACTGTGGTGAGCCAGGATGCCCAAGTGCTCACCTCTCCAAAGTAACGCTTGGAGCAGCGGGATCATGGGACAGGATGGGGACTTTAGAAGAAAGCACACTGTGCACTTTTTGGAGTAGATGGGAAATGCAGGTGAAGCAAAGGGAGCAGCAGCTGCTGAGGCCACTGGAAGCTGGTATCTAGTATCCTGGCATTTCCTCTCATAAAAGTCTTCGAACCTCTACCCATTCCTGAAGGCCACCACCCCGTCTCTTCTTTTCTTTCCATCCTCTGCTGTCATTGTAAGCACAGGCACTTTCTTGATATTTTCCCCCTTGCCAGCAGAGAGCTCCTTATTTCATTTATTTGTTCATTTGTTCGTTCTTTCGTTCATTCATTCATTCACTCATCAAACATTCAGTGAGCGCGTTACTAGTCTTCTGAACGGGTGACTCTGAGGAAGAGGCTGTTATTGAGCATGGAGAGACTTATTCAAATAAATAATCTGTATTTAAAAGTGGCTTGATTTGTCTTTGGCATCCTGGTGCCTGAACATCTTGTGGTCCCCAGCCCAGTCCCTTCTCCTCCCCATGGTCAGCCCTCACCTACCACTCTCACCAGAGTTTCCGCTGTGGCCTCCCAACCCTCCCCTTCTCTGGCTCCCTGGTCCGTCCCCAAACACCAGGGTGGGGGGTCAGGCCACCCTCCTGGCATACTGGAGAGACAGAGGCCCATTGAGGCACTGCGGCAGGAACAGAGCACCCCCTTGTCCCCCCAACAATCTGCCTTTGTCCTTCATCTTGGCTGCTACAGCTGGGTCTTGGGGGTGCTGCTGGGTGCACTCCAGCTCCCACCCTCCCTAAAAGGAAAAGCAAGAAAAGATGGGCCACGGAAGAGGGTTAAGGTTAGGGGAGGGGGTGCAAACTTTTTCAGGATTAGGTCCTTGGGGGTTCCTAGTCCAGCCCTGTTTCTTGGCTCCACTCCCAGCTCCTCCCGGTCACCACAGACATTGCGCCCCCCCCACCCCCCGCCCATTCTCCAAGTAAGGGGAGGGCTGGCCACTCCTCCCCAGTCCCTCCCCTCCCCATGCGCCTCCTGGGGGTTGGTGCAGACACCAGCGGGGCAGCTGGGTGAAGGCCCTCTGGGCAGGCCTCCCCGTGGCTGCCTCTTCTCCTAGGACCCCCACAGCAGGGCTGCACGCTCTGCTTTCAGGTTTCTCTAAGGGCCTTTCTTCTTCTGTCTGCTTCCCTGTCCTGCCAGGTTTCCGTCTTCCTGTTTCCCTTCCTGGGCTGCTGGCAGTGAGGGGCTGTGCCCAGTTGGCCTCTTGGAGATGCTCAGTGCTCTGGATCGCCGGGACCGGCCTCCTGAAGAGGGGGCACCTGCAGGGCTCCAGGGCTTTGCTGTGGACAAGACCTTCCTCTCCTCCCTGAAAGGCATCCTGCTGGAAACTGAGCTGGTAACAACAGCCACCCCAACCTGACGCCTCCGCATCTCTTAGCCCTGGCCCCCCTGCCCCGCCTACCACCCCCTTCCCAGGCTTTCTGGGCGCCACTCCTACCCCCAGCTGCCCCTCCTTCACCTCCTCCCTGCCTTCCTGTTGCCTCTGCATCTGGAGGCAGTTGCAGCAGGTCTCATTTGGGGCAGCTGGGGTTGAAGTTAGACAGGGCAGCTTTCTGGGACATTGAGGGGGTGCAAGACACAGGGATGGGATGAGGGTACCAGCAGCTTGTTTTTCCTGAGCTCTAAGGTGGCCACTTCTTGGCATGTCTAAGAAGTCCAACTAGCAAAAAGGGCAGACTCCCTGCAGCCCCATTGTTTCTGTTTATGCTCCATGTGAAGATCTGTTCCCAGGAAAGGATCTTCCGCTAGTCACTTAGCGAGACCTTAGTGTAAAGGCAAGTCTTCTCCACACTTGCTATCCTACAGGGCCAGAGCTGAACGGAACCCCTTCCCCCTCAGATCCACCATGGAGCATGTGTCTCCTAAACCTCATTTCTTGCCTTGGAGCCATGGGCTCTGGATCTTGTTAGAGGAGTTTGAGGCATCCAGGATTCGGGAAAGGATTATGGGACGTGGGCTGCCTCCTGGGGCCCAGGGCTGGTGCAGGCAGGACTCCAGGGGCTGTGCTCACACCGTGTTCTGTGCCCCAGCAGGACACCAAAGGGCCAGAGCCACTGGGATGCTGGGGGAGGAGGCAGCTGGTCATCCCCACATTAAAAGATTCGAATCCCCCTGGACTGGCAGAGGTGGGAGGCAAGAGGCTGCCCCTCAGCAAAAGCCAGCAGGGATGGTGAGACCTCCAAGGACAGGTGGTGGGGGCCAGCCTGGGGGAACTCCTGAGGAGAGGGAGGCCAAGGCCAGGCCAGGCCTGTGTCTCCTTCCTGGCAAGTCCACACACTTGGTCTTGCAGGCCCTGACCTTCATCATCTTCATCTGCTTCACGGCCTCCATCTCCGCCTACATGGCCGCGGCGCTGCTCGAGTTCTTTATCACCCTCGCCTTCCTCTTCCTCTATGCCACCCAGTACTACCAGCGATTTGATCGGCTGAACTGGCCCTGTCTGGTGAGGGACCCCACCTACCCCACCCCATTCTGGTCCCTTTCTTCTCCTTTGAATTTGGAGTTTTCCCTTCCTCTCCCAGTCTCTCTCTTTTACTTGGGTCCCTCAACCCCAGCTAGGCTTTGTACTCAAAGTCTTTTTCTTCCCAAGCTGTGCCCTGTACTCAAAAACTGCTTTTACCTACGCTGATTCATAGCTGCTGGGCCACCGACAATGAGGGAACACATCCTTTAGATAGGCTCTCCCACTCATTAACGGCCCAGCTCCAGCCCCAGCCCTGCCCAGCCCTCCCTCCTTGGTTGGCATCCCCTAGGCGTGCCCCTTGGCCCCAGCCGCTGAGCCTGGGTCAGCCGCACCCAGCCCCCTGGATTTCTGTCCTGGTCATTGTGCACTCACCTGCATCCCTTTCTTGGATGGTGTGTGAGCTCCCTCCCTCTTTTTCTCTCTTCAGTGCTTTATGTAGTGCCCAGGGATATTTTTATGCAGGAATTCAGTGCCCGAGGGCTAAGTGCTGACTAGTCTGGAAAAGTTCAGGAGGATACCCATGCCTTCTGACTTCCCTTTGATCTGGAATCTTGGCCCACCCAGGATTTCCTCCGCTGTGTCAGCGCCATCATCATCTTCCTAGTGGTCTCCTTTGCAGCTGTGACCTCCCGAGATGGAGCTGCCATTGCTGCTTTTGTGAGTCCAGCCCCCCAAAGCTCTTCAATTTCCTAAGGTCCTCTGGTGCTACCCACTTCCTGTACCTCCTCCACCCAGGCCCAAGCCAGTGCTTGGGACTGTGGCCCATACTTTGCCTTAAGCTACCCACATCCCTCTCCCTAATTCTAGATGGCCTTTGTGGTGCCATCCACCACACTCCTGCTCCACAGGTTTTTGGCATCATCCTGGTTTCTGTCTTTGCCTACGACGCCTTCAAGATTTACCGGACTGACATTGTGCCCAGGGCCACCCAGGGTGAGTGCTTGTGCTCTGGAAGAGGAGGTGCCCCTCTACCCCCTGCCCCAGGTGCCCCAGCCTGATGTGCCCTTCCCTGCCTGGCTCCATCTTCACAGGGGACCAGCAGTGACTCCAGGGCTACAGCCGGACCAAGGGGACAGTGGAGCCCAGACACACCTCTCCTGGATTTACTAGCTCTCTAGCTCACTGTTCCCCACCTCAGAGCTACAGAGATGAAGACTGGCCTGAGAAGTCACGGGGACTTGTTTGTGGGCCTGGTGCTCTAAGATAGGGCTCCCGATGAAGCTGGACTGAAGAAGGGTATTATGGAGGGAGGCGTGGGCAGGAGAAAGCTGGTCATTCCCAAATTAAAAGATTTAAATCTTACTGGTCATTCTTTTTCTTCCCTAGGAATTAAGGATATCAGGAATCCAAGGAGTATTCATGGAAATGTTGCCTGAAGCAGGTCATGGTCCTTCTCTGGGGCCAGGTCTCAGTAATGAGGAAGTAGGGGGTTAGAATGAAGGCAGACATTCTCAACACAGAACTTTCATGCCATGGCCCTCTGTGTGCAAGGCTGCTTTGCTGCGTGCCTGGTGGTAGTTGGGCACCTGGAGCTCTGTGTCTGAGGAGGGACAGCTTTCCCAGTGTGAATGTCCACCTGCCACTCCTGTGCACACAGATTTGTTAGTGGGTTTGAGGCTAGGTGCTTGCCTGTGGTGTGTGTAAAGCTCCTCCTTGTGGTATGGGGAAGACTAGGCCTGCAGGCCACAGGGCAGAGGTCCCCTGTGGCATCAGAAGAGGGCAGAGGTTCCCAAAAAGCAAGCACTAGAAGAGCCCTTAAATATCAGCCATCATTCCACATAAAAGAAGACAGGCTCATTAGGGGAAGTGACATCCTTATTTGTGACAGGGCTGAGACTAGAACCCAGTACTCCTAACACCTCAACCAGTATCTTAGATACTGTACAGAACCCCCTAATATTAGCTCAGAAAAAACATGGCGCAACCTCATCTCCAGCTCCCTCCACCAGCATGCCCCTCTTCCCAGCTTGCCAGCACCGAGCAAACATTTCCTGACCATCTCCAGTGTGCAGACTCTGTGCTGGGCCCGGGGGTTCAGAGGTGGCAGACTGGGGAAGAGGCAGGCTAATGAGAAACAGTTATGGTTCTCCCCGATGGATGCCCTGGGGAGATCTGCTCAGGGGGAGCTTGGAGCAGGCACTGCCAAAGCCTGAAATCAGCCCTGAGGGCCCATGACAGTCCAGTGCAGCCAGGCTGTCCCTGCCCAGCCCTCCAGAACCCAGTGTGACCTAGCTCAGCAGCTCATCCGAGCTGACTTGCTGTGTCCTCTCTCTAATGCTTGTTTGCTGCTGTCCTGAAATGACTTCCTTCTGGGGTGCTCCTTCCAGGCGCAGGCCCCAGCCCCCAAGCCCTGCCTGAACCCTGGGACTCTAGTCGAGGTGCTCTGCCCCCTTGATGATAACCACAGGTCTCTTGGTCTGATTTCTCTGGCCTCCCGCTCTTTGTTCTCCTCGCCTCATGTCCTGATTCCTCACCAGAGCTGGAACCAACGCTTTTGTGTTCTGGTCTCTGCTCGCAGTTCTCAGGGCTTTCTACACAGCCCATTCTGAAGACTGGTAGCTCACCTTAGAAGGACAGGGTCAAGGCCTTGGCCTCAGAGGAGGGCTAGAGGGGGCTTAGCCAGGGGCATCCAGGAGATGGGGTGTCAGGTGAGGGGATGAGGAGGTCAGAAGAGCCTGGCTGCAAAGCCCAGCAGGGGCAGGGATTTGCGTGGAGCGAAAGGGGGTCAGGACCAGGCTTGTTCCCTGAGCAGCAGTGTGACCTAGACCAAAGGGTCCCTAGTGGGATCCCAGAGAGGGCATAAGTGCCATCCTCAGTATGTACCCACTTGTGCATCCATGCTCATCTGTGTCTGTAGGACAGGTCAAAATGAGACAAGCAGTACCCAGGTTTGGTCCACACTGCATATTGGTTTGGACTCAGTGTCTGCTGGCCCCGGAGCCTCGGTCTGCCCTCATGGTGAGGAGCTGAGCCACAGAGGTTGGGAGCAGTCCTTGGCCCCAGCTGACTGTCCCTGGGGCTGATGGGGGGAAGGACTCCTTGTGGGTTACTTCTAAGGGGCTGCTGAGCACAGTGGGATCTGCCCCACCCCTCTATCTGAACCTGCATCCCCAGCCAGGTCTGCACCTCTCCTGGCATCAGTGGGAAATTCATGTTGGAGGAAACGGGTGTCCCAGGATACTTTTAACCCCTGTGGCCTCAGAGGAGGGGTAGGTGGAGGGTGGTTTCAGTTTTGGCACTAAAATTCTGTCTCCTGGTGTCTAGAATTGGTTCACGCTTCTGTGCTTTTTTCTCCACTTTTCTCCCTCTTTTCTCTTATCAACTAGAACTGAGCAGAACTGAGACTCATGGTTCTGTTGCCTCAGGAAAGACACCTTACTTCTCGGGGCCCCAGTTTCCTCCTGGATAGATTGGAAAACCTTGGCTACCGCAGCTCAGACATAGGACAGGGCTGCCCTCTGAGCTCAGCACAGAAATGACAGCGGCACAGGCGGAGTCTGGCGTTCAGATTTATTATACGATAGCAAGAGCGAGGTCCTGAAGGCAGCGTCACTCTTCATCATGCAATTTTTGCTGAGAAAGGAATAAAGTGTGTGAGGGGGCAGCTGGCAAGAGGGAGGAAGAATGTGGAGAGAAATCTCTAGGGCTTAAAGGGGCCTAAGGGAGATGTCTTAGAGGGAGAGGTTCAGGCCTCAGGAATCTTGGGGTTCCATTGAAGGAGTTCTTGTGGCTTAGCATCCTTTAAATGGAACCCTGAGGGACTGGGGCTCTGTAAGGGTTCCAGTCTGTAGGGGAGCTCTGAGCAGGAGGGGGATTCTCAGGAATGGGTGCTTTGGGACTCTTGGGGTTATCCAAATATAGGGTAAGAAGTGCCCACTCAGAGGGGTACTGATGTTGGAGGGAAGCTGGTGTCGGGGAAACTAGCCAGGCCTGGGGAAGGGACCCACCTTCGCGCCGATGTCACGGCTCTTGGCCCGCAACTTGTTGACCTGGGATTCGGCAATGTCTGCCCGCTCCTCCGCCTCATCCAGCTCGTGCTGTACCTTGCGGAACTTGGACAGGTTGGTGTTGGCCTGCTCCTCCTATGGGTATTCAGGGGGTGGGAGGATGAGGTGATGAGAGGGGGTGAGGGAATGGGGCTCGGTGCTTTCACCTTTCACCCATGTTCCTGCAACAGCCTTGCCTGCCCCTGGCTTGGTACCCTCATCAAACTTGTCCAGCACTCAGAATCCTTCACGGCCAGCCACTGCCCAAGATGAACCCCATGCTGCCTTGTCCAGCGCTACTCAAAACCAGCTTCACTGCACCTGTCCAGCTGTGAACCTGATACATGCTCCCGGCCCTGGGGTTTCCTGCGCAGGCGTGCTCAGCAACACCTCACATCCACACTTTTCTGCCCACCCAGATGTTTTCTTCACGGCAGGATGTCTGGTCAGTTTCCCTTCCAGGCTCAATTTCACTGCCACCTTCCAGCCTTCAGCATCGTCTGGCCCCCTGATCCGCATTAGCAGCTGCACTGCCTACTCTTGGGCTTATTGGTATATGAGTTATAAGAAGCTTGTGGGCATGTCCTGGGTCAAATAAGCACTACTTATTGTTAACTCAGAGTGCCTGACACAACTCTGAGCACACTAGACACGTGTAACAAATGTTTGAGAGTTAAAGTGAATAGCAAACCCATTGCCCAGGCCCCATGCTGGGATGGACATTCATTGGTTCAAACACACAGGAACTGTGTTCATTAGAGTGGAACAAATCATGAACTCACCGCCTCCTCAGCCTGGCGCTTGTAGGCCTTGACCTTCAGCTGCAGCTTGTCCACCAGGTCCTGTAGCCGGAGCAGGTTCTTCTTGTCTTCCTCTGTCTGGGGGTGGATGGGCAGGAGAAGTCAGTTTTTGAAGAGGAGCAAGTGCAATGGTCTTCCCCTGCTTTGCCATCCCACTCTTCTCCCCTTGCCTTAGTTGCCCCTCCCTCGAATGGGCCAGAGTGAAAAGGTGACAGAAAGAGCTATCTCTGACATTACTTGTAGGTCAAGGGGCCCAGGCAAAGTTCTCAGTCAGAGATCTAAAATGCAATGAGAGCTGGCCCTGGCTGAGTAGCTCCGTTGGTTAGAACGTCGTCCTGATATACCAAGGCTGTGGGTTCAGTTCCCAAGCAGGGCACAAATGAGTCAACCAATGAATGCATAAATAAGTGGAATAAAAAAAATCAATGCTTCTCTCTCTGTCTCCCTCTTCCTCTCTTTCTATCTAAAAATCAATCAATCGATACATTCTTTTTTTTAAAAGCAACAAGAGCCGCCCCCTTAAAGCTGGAAGTTGGGGGAGGGGCTCAGAACCAAATGGAATTCTATCATCTAATAATATGGAGACATTGGGCTGTTCCAGCTCAAACTTAGAAGTTCCATCAGAGTGACCAGCCAGGAAATGGGAATGGAGAAAGAAGAGGACATTATAGTCCAGATCATTCCAGTCTATCATAACTCAATATTCTAATATACTGTACTGGGGCCAGATTTTGGCACCACGATCACTGACTCCAATGTCACTTGATCTTTCCAATATTTACATCATTGTATGTGCTAGGCTGATAGTACCTAGGCTGACATTATGTCCACAGTACATTTGCAGTTCTACATCTGTTTTCTCTTTCCTGTGCCTCATATCCAGTGTCAAGTAGACCAATACCCCTTTCTCTGTTCTGTCTTTCATTACCAGGCACATTGGTCAAGGGCAAAAGTTATGAGCTATGCATATTAAGGTCTTAGAATATTTTGGGATCTTCTTCCTCTAAGGCCTTCTATCCATTGTCCCAGAAGATCCATGGAAGATCTGTCTTTTCCCATCCCTGACTTTTATCCCTAAAGTGCTACGCAATGTCCCTCCCAAGCAGGCCACTAGAAGGTGGAAAATTTCCTTGGAATATTCTGAAGCCTTCATGATAGACCTTCAGGTTATTAAAAAGCCTGGGGAGATTCTGGTTAAAAGAGCTTTCAGAAAGTAGAAGTAGATTCTCTTCCATTCACAGGAAAAATTCATGGACCTAAGCCAAACTGACTCTGGAGTATGTGAAAGAAAGTGAATCTAAAGACAGCTTCTCAAGGAGCAGGTGCCAGGAGGGCCTGGTGGCATTTCCTGGATGGGGATTTGGCATAGGGTCTGTGGGGGCCAGAAGGTGGGGCTAGGGCAGCACTACCACTCCTGATGGCCCCACTCCAGAGCAGCCACCAGCCGCACCTGGTAGGTGAGCTCCTTGA